GCATGGTGATGCCGCCGGCGAGAACCGGGAGCGACAGGACCAGCAGGAACGCCGTCACCAGCACGGACCAGGCAAAGAGCGGCATCTTGTGCAGCGTCATGCCCGGAGCGCGCATGTTGAAGATCGTGGTGATGAAGTTGATCGCGCCGAGGATCGAGCTGGCGCCCGCCAGGTGCAGCGCGAAGATCGCCATGTCCACCGACGGCCCGGGATGGCCGAGCGAGGAGGACAGCGGCGGGTAGATCGTCCAGCCCGTGCCCGCGCCGGTGCCCACGAAGGCCGAGCCCAGCAGCAGCAGGAAGGCCGGCACCAGCAGCCAGAAGCTGATGTTGTTCATGCGCGGGAAGGCCATGTCCGGCGCGCCGATCATCAGCGGCACGAACCAGTTGCCGAAACCGCCGATCAACGCCGGCATGACCACGAAGAAAACCATGATCAACCCGTGCGCGGAGATGATCACGTTCCACATCTGGCCCGGGTCGGCCGACAGCAGGTTGAAGTACTGCACGCCCGGCTCCTGCAGTTCCATGCGCATGAGCACGGAGAAGGCGCCGCCGATCAGGCCGGCGATCACCGAGAAGACCAGGTAGAGGGTGCCGATGTCCTTGTGGTTGGTGGAGCAGAACCACCGAACGAAGAAGCCCGGCTTGTGATCGTGGTGATCGTGGGCGTGCGCTTCGCTGTGAGCCATGGATCTTTCCTCGAGCCGTCGATTACTGACGCGTTCTTGTCGTTGTCGTGCGGCCGCGGGCACAGCCGCGCGGCGGCTACTCGACCGCCGCGGCGATCTGGTTGCGGGCGGGCGCGGGCGCGGCGGCGAACTCGTCCTGCGCCTCGGCGACCCAGGCGTCGAACTCCTCCTGCGAGACCACCTTGACCATGATCGGCATGTAGGCGTGGGCGGTGCCGCAGAGCTCGGAGCACTGGCCGTAGTAGGTGCCCTCCTCCTGCACGTTCACCCAGGTCTCGTTCAGACGCCCCGGCACGGCGTCGGTCTTGATGCCGAAGGCCGGCACGGCGAAGGAGTGCAGCACGTCGCCGGCGGTGACCAGGATGCGCACGGTGGTGTCGACCGGGATGACCACCGCCTGATCAGTCGCCAGCAGGCGCGGCTTGCCGGCGGCGGCGGCATCCTCGTCCTGCAGCATGAAGGCGTCGAACGCGAAGTTGCCGTGGTCGGGATACTCGTAGCTCCAGTACCACTGCTTGCCGATCGCCTTGATCGTCATGTCCGCCTCGGGGACCACGTCCTGGGCGTAGAGCAGCTTCATCGAGGGGATCGCGATGACCACCAGGATCATCACCGGCACCGCCGTCCAGATCACCTCGATCAGGGTGTTGTGCGTGGTCTTCGAGGGCGTCGGGTTGGCCGCGGCGCGGAAGCGGAACATGACGTAGACCAGCAGGGCCAGCACGAACACGCAGATCAGGGTGATGATCACCAGCAGCATGTTGTGGAAGTCGTGGATCTGCTCCTTGACCGGCGTCGCGCCGGCCTGCAGCCCGAGACCGCCCGGCACCGGCTGGCCCAGCATCTCCTGCGCGCGCGCCGTGCCGGCCGCGAAGAGCCCCAGCAGCAGGGCGCCCAGGGCGCCGGCCTTGTTCGTCAGCTTCGTCATCGTCCGTGTCTCGACCCTCTTGGCTCGGCCCCCGGCCGCGAGATCGGCAGGCGCCGGCGCTTTCTGTCCCCTCTTGGTCCGGGGGCGAAGGAACGGCAGTGCGTCGCGTTCGCACTCGCAGCCGCCCGGACGCGGCGGAACCTAGACCAAGCGCAGCAGCGCAACAAGGCGTTCCTGATGCGGCATACTGGCCCGGCAGGCGAAATTCCGCCTGACTGCTTGCATACCGACGAACGCGCCTTGCGGGAAGCCAGATTCGCTTGCGGCAATTCGACGCAAGCCCTTGGTGCGCTTCGCGAAAGCCGGTCGCGGCCCGAACCGGCCAGCCCGTTCAGGTCCGCCGGTCGCCCCGGCGCAGGGCGCGCTTGACCCGGCGCATGCCGAACCAGATCAGGCCGACCACGAGCGGGATCGACAGGGCGGTGATCTGGTTCGGCGTCAGCGGCAGCCCGAAGGACTCGCCGCCCTCGGCGAGGTATTTGACCAGGCTGACCAGGTAGTAGCTGATCGCCGCCACCGAGAGGCCCTCGACCGTCTCCTGCAGGCGGAGCTGCAGCTTGGCCCGGCGGTTCATCGACTCCAGCAGGTCGCGGTTCTGCGCCTCCAGGGTGACGTCGACGCGGGTGCGCAGGAGCTGCCCGGCGCGCGCGACCCGGCGCGAGAGCGTGTCGAGCCGGTCCTGGGTCGATTCGCAGGTCCGCATGGCCGGGCTGAGGCGGCGGTCCATGAACTCCTGGATCGTCTGGAAGCCCTCGATGCGCTCCTCGCGCAGCTCCTGGATGCGGCGCTGCACCAGGGCGTAGTAGGCGCGCGCGGCGGAAAAGCGGTAGTTGGTCTCGGCCGAGATCCGCTCGATCCCGGCGGAGACGTCGGTCAGCTCGCCGAGCAGGCGCTGCTCGTCCTCCAGCCGCGCGCAATCGGTCATCTCGTCGATGATGCCGCGCAGGCGCTCGCCCAGGCGCGAGAGCTCGCCGCCGTGGCGGCGGGCCAGCGGCAGCGCCAGCAGCGCCATCATGCGATAGGTCTCCACCTCGCAGAGACGCTGCACGAGTCGCCCCGCCTGGCGCGGCCGCAGGCCGACGTCGCGGATCAGCGCCCGGCCGAAGCCGTCGGCGCCGACCCAGAAGTTCATCCAGGCCATGGCCGAGCCGCCGGAGACGGCCGAGCCGGCGTAGTTCTCGATCTGCATCAGCTCGCCGATGCTGTCGGGATCGGTCTCCAGCCTGGGCGCGTCACGCGCCTCCAGCTCAAGGTGCAGGCCGACCAGCAACTCGCCGGGCAACCGCTGCACCCAGTCGCGCGGCACCCGCTCGATCACCGGGTGGGCGAAGCGGTCGACCTTGCCGTCGTCGCGCAGAGGCGCCGCCTCGCGGGCGTAGAAGGCATAGGTGGAGAACTCCGTGTGCCGCTCCCAACGCAGCCGGAAGGGCCCCAGGTCGACCAGGTGGAAGTTGGCGGTGTCGCCCGGCGGCGGCTTGCCGTAGCGCTGGCAGAGTGCGGCGACGTGGGCGCGTTCGCCCTCCAGCCCGCCCTCGCCGGTCATCAGGGCGATGTGGGTGACCCGCTCGCTCGGCTGCAGATGCGCGAAAGGGCGCGCATGCACCTCGCGCGTCAACTCTTCGCGCAGTCGATGTTCGCTGAGGCCCAAGGGCATCGGCCGGCAGTCCCCCTCTCGTCTCTGGCCGGGCGCTGCGGCGGGTGTCCCGGCGTCCCCGGACCGCCCCCGCGCGGAGCCGCCCCCTGCATTCGCGCCCGCAAGCCTCTACATTAGCAGGCGACGCGACCGAATGCCTCAAAGCGATAGGAGCCGAGCAGAGCCGCCATGACCCACCTGGCCGATACCGACGAGCTGTTCTACGCCCGCGCCGGCCTCGACCGCGCCAAGCTCGAGCGCATCGTGGACGACGCCCTGGCCCGGGCCGACGACGGCGAACTCTTTCTGGAGTACCGCCAGTCGGAGGCGCTGGCCTTCGACGACGGGCGCCTGAAGTCGGCCAGCTTCGACACCGACCAGGGCTTCGGCCTGCGCGCGGTGGCCGGCGAGGCGGCCGGCTACGCCCACGCCAGCGAGCTGACCGACGCCGCCGTGCAGCGCGCCGGCGAGACGGTCAAGACGGTGCAGGCCGGCTACGGCGGCACCATGGCGGCGGCGCCGAGCAACACCAACCGGCAGCTCTACACCCCGGACAACCCGCTGGGCGCGCTGGCCTTCGAGGCCAAGGTCAAGCTGCTGAGCGAAATCGACGCCTACGTCCGCGCCAGGGACCCGCGGGTGCGCCAGGCCACGGTCTCGCTCGCCGGCTCCTGGCAGGCGGTGCAGATCCTGCGTGCCGGCGGCGAGCGCCGAGCCGACATCCGCCCGCTGGTCCGCCTCAACGTCTCGGTCGTGCTGGAGCAGGACGGCCGGCTGGAGACCGGGTCCTACGGCACCGGCGGACGGGTCGGCTACGACGGCCTGATCACGCCGGAAAGCTGGCAGGCGGCGGCCGACGAGGCGCTGCGCCAGGCCGAGGTCAACCTCGGCTCGGTCGACGCGCCGGCCGGCGAGATGCCGGTGCTGCTCGGCGCCGGCTGGCCGGGCATCCTGCTGCACGAGGCGGTCGGCCA